TCATAATCCACCAAGGGTTTCACACAAGGGAAAACTGACAATGATGATGCAGTGGGATGGGTGGTATGTGAGATCTAACCAAGTTTTAGGGCTGTGGGCCTACATAGCTAAAGGGATGTCACAAAGCTTCAATCTATCAAGAGGACAAACAATAATACTTAATTGATAGAATGGTTGGAGAGATTAAATCAGATGCTAGAGAGAAATAACATAGCAGATAGTAGGTGCTTTATGTGTGACTTTCTTACTCTGTACTACAGTTGTGCTCTCTTCCCTAAACAGACAAACATGAATGCTGAGGGGATGTTTCATGGAACCCAAAGGGGAAAACTGAGCCTAGCCATGGGAGTATATCCCAGATTCTTCACTGATGTCACTCTAAGATCAATATAAAGATCCCAAGTACAAAAATCCTTGATGATGTTTACTTCCTATAAATACTGTTAACATTCTTCTATGGTTCAGTATAAAAAATATGGCCTGAATCTCCTGTTTAGTGAAATAATTAACATGGTCATCCCTTCAAGTGTTGCCATAGTAGTTACCATGGTAATGAAAATAAAAATGCAATTTGAGTAATTCATAATACATGTCTTCCCAGAAATACAAAAGGAGTACTTTTAGGTTAACTGAATCATTTTGGTGATGTCTCAGGGCAACCTGTTACTCACTTGAATGATTCAGACAAAAGGCTGTAATGAATAGAAGATTAGTCTGTTTGCATTTGAAACCAAATGTACCAAATACATTCTTAATGTGTTAATTAACATTTTCTCCAGAAACAAAAGAAAAACATTTCATCTGAGAAGACAGGTAAGAATCTGATTGTAAAGCAGGCTCACCTGGCATTCAAAAAAAATCTTTGGAAAGATAAGTAAAGCAACCACAACATTCAAAACAAAAATTCTAAACTGCTAAGTCATAGATAAAGTTATTTCTGGAAAAAAATGAATAGAGAATGATAATTTTATAGGTATTCTAATAGTTCATATGACTGTATTCAAGACTTGAAGAAATAAACAGCAAATATCACTGAAATGCTTTCAACGAAAACTGGGAAACAGTTTAAAAAGTTACTGCAAGAACATCTATATGATGATCTGCAAAGGAACAACCAAAATACTATCTCTTAGGAAATGATAAATACAAAAATATAATCCTAAAATTTCACACTACCCCTTCAGTTTCTGTATTTCCTAAGGTTTCAAAAATGGCCCATTGTTCTTACTAAATGCTAAACCTCTGGTCCCTCTCTCTCTCTTTATTTATTTATTTATACAAGCACTGGGTACAGTCAGAAGCACGGGAGGGTGAGAGAATTCACCAGAGCCAGAGCGGGGAGCAGAGCAGGCAGAAGGACCGAAGTACACTGCTGAGGGGAGCAGCGGGCGGCAGGAGAGGTCTGCGCGCCATGTGGGACCCTCCTCCAGTGGCTGGGGAGCAGCCGGGGATCAAACTGGTGCTGCAGAGGCTGCGGGCAGTTCGCAACCCAGCGCTCAACCGCTGTGCCACCAGGGAGGCCCTCAAGGATGTATTTGTATATTCATCTCTAGCAGCAGAAAAACAAAAAAGGTTATAAACAATTGGGACTACATCAAACTAAAAAGTTTCTGTACTGCAAATGAGATCATCTCTAAAGCAAAGAGACACTCTCTGAATGGGAGAGAATATTTATATACTATCCATCTGACAAAAGGCTTATATCAAAGATCTACAAAGAACTCATACAACTGAACAACAAGAAAACAAGCAAACCAATCAGAAAATACACATTTCTCCAAAGAAGACAAAGATTGCCACTGGCACATGAAAAGATGTTCATCATCACTTATTGTTAGGGAAATGCAAATCAAAGTCACATTGAAATGTCATCTCACATCTTTGAGAATGGCCCATATCAAAAAGACCAGAAACAATAAGTGTTGGCAAGGTTGTGAAGAAAAAGGAACGTTCTTACCCTGTTGATGGGAAAGTAGACAGATCCAGTCCCTATGGGAAATAGTACTGTTAGGGGGAAAAGGATGTCCTAAAGCTAATTTCATACAGGCTTTGTGGACTCCACCCCCACACCAGACCAAATCTATCAGGACAATGGGAAAGACAAATCCCATCACCAGCAAAGGGAAGGTTGCTGGAACCTGAGGGTGGGGTTAAGCAGCCAGGTTTGGTATAAAACCAGACACGTGGGCTTTGGGGGTGGGGGGGTTCCTTTTTTGGCTCTCCGCCAGCTCGCAGCACTCAGCCAGCTCTCAGAGTGCCATTGGGTTTCCAGGTCGGTGGATCGGGTAGGACGCATTAAAGATTTTATTTCCCTATTTTCTCCCTGAGTTGTACATTTCCTCATTTCCCTTTCTCTTGTGAATAAACCTTTTATTAACCTTTTGTGTGTGCCTGTAGTGGAGTATTAATAAATCCCTTTTAAGCGCGCGGGTGAGGACCCACAGCCAGGCAACCCATTTTATATTGGGGCTGCTCTTTAACAGTATGGAGGTTTCTTTAAAAGATTAAAAATGGATCTGCCATATGACCCAGCAATTGCACTCCTAGGTATCTAGCCAAGGAATACAAACATACTAACTGGATGGGAAATATGTACTCCCATGTTCAAGCAGCACGATTTACAATAGCAAAGCTATGGAAACAACCAAGTGCCCATTGACAGATGAGTGGATCAGGGAAATGTAGAATATATATACAGTTGCATACTACTCAGCTTCAAAAATGATAAACTTTTGCCATTTATGGCAGCATGGATGGAGCTGGAGGGAATTATGCTAAGTATAATTAGTCAGAAGGAAAAAGACAAATACCAGATGGTGTCACTTATGTGTGGGATACAGAGAGTCCAAATAAAGGCTCTGATAAAGCCAAACCAAGAACTAATCCTGGAAAGCTGATCACAGAACAGAGGCTAAGAGATGGGGAGAGACTCGGGGAGGGGCCAGAACAAAGAGGGAGGGAGCACAACGGACGACAGTGGTGGACTGTTGTTGTTTTGGTGTTGGGTGTGGTGTGGGAACAACACCTGAAGGGGCCTAAAACAAATGATGTAAACCAATGTTACTTCAATTAAAAAAAAGGGGCATCTTGAGGTATCTGTAGATTTCTGGTTCATCAACCATCATTTAGACCACATTTCTGCCCAATACTTGAAAATGTTTGAGGGACCTTTATTATACTACAAGTAGTGGCAGTAACAGAATATTGATTGGCCATGTAGTGCATGGGGGGAGGCAATCGAGGGCCCCTTTCAGCTCCTAAAAGATATACTGTAAACTCCTTGAGGGTAGATGCTGCTTGAGTTAATGCCCTTATCACCTGAAACATGTTGCCACTCAATAAATAACTGTTGAATCAATGAATGACTGGATGAATGCCAGATAGATCTTAGTTTTTATATTTTTAAACTAAAGATTGGTATTTGTATTTTATTCTAGATTCCCTAAGCTACCACAGTGGGCCTTGGTTTTTAAATGATCAGAATTTGAATCATCTGGGGCACAGATCAAAAATGCAGATTCGTGGGACTCACCCCAAACCATAACTAAATTAGACTAATTACCAGTGAAGCTCAGGAATCTGCATTACAAATAAGCACACCAAATTGTATCTCATGTCCACTAAATTTGAAAGCTAATGCTCTTTGTGGGGGTCATTACTAGGGACTAAAGTTTAAGGCTTCTAGTTAGCACAAATTAAGGGGAGTGTTGGGAATTTAACTTTATAAAGACTTACTTATAAATCATTGGTATTTATTTTAATGACCGATATATGACTCTTAGAAGATAAGTTTTTTTTACTGCATACCCAGTGTGATATAGGAAGAAAGCTTGTAAATGAGAAAGTAAAAGCTCAGACTTGTCTTTTTTAATTAGGATATTATTCTCATTTTTCTTGCTTCTCTGGGCTGTAATCTGAAGCAAAAGGACAGAAAAAGCAAGTCAAGAGATTAAAATAAAGCTACTTTGGCCACCTCTAAGCTAGTGACATAATAAGCTCGCCTCTGTTCACAGCAAAGAGAGAAAGAGTGGGTAGTCTAGTGAAAAAATTAGATACATTCTTTGGCAGGATCAAATCTACATGAATGGCACAGAACCTTCAAAAGCATGGACTGATGGAAAACATGCAAAAACAAAATTTTCTGTCACCTTCTGAGACTCTTCCACAAGGGTATTTCAAGTGTCTCTTGGTTACGCAAGAGAAAAACAAAGGGAAAAGGCTAAGTCTTGTATTTATTTTGTATTGCTTTCCCAGTGGCAGAACATTCTTGGAAACATTGACTCATTTCAGCCTCACATCTCTACCTGCTGAAAAGGGCACCCCCAGTTTACAGAGTTGGAAAATAAAGACAAAAATGATACCTTTTTTTCCTAATTCCCATAATTAAATGGGGCTGCAAAACACTGAAATAAAGCCAAGTTTGACACTATAGTTATAAATTTCTAATCTTAATATGTATAAATAGAAGACAGGTATCTCCACCAAACTAAGTTCTATAAATAACCAATTTGGTGAATTTAATATGCTTCTAGACATTTCTTTATGGTCACACAGACATATCTATCCACATGTGCAGGCACGCACACACACATACTTTCTCACACATATACATGCAAACACATAAACACATATATGCATCTTAAAAAAAAACACATGGAATTATGTTCTGTTGTTCTACGACTTCTTTTTATTCCAGTATGTTCTCACTGAGCTCTGAAACTCCTGTGAAAGAAGAAGTTTGTTGTCTTCACTTTTATTTTTTTAACTTAATTTTTAAAAATTGGAATAACATTGTGTTATAACATTATAGAATTTAACAGTGTGCATCACTGGTAATCAACATGGTAATCAACATCATGATCACCACTAAAAGTCCAGGTCTATCCATCACCATACATCACCCACCCTCTTCTCTCTTTGCTGTTGGTAACCACTAATTGATCTTATGGTCCATAATTTATTTTGCTTTATTTAGTTTATCATCTGTTTTCTCACTTGAACAGCAGTATATGACTTCCTGTCCCTTTTAGTTCCTCTGCTGTAGTCCACTTGGTCCTATCCTTGGTCAATCACTTTGAACATCACAGACTCTCTAAATGCAGCTGCTCCTCTGCTGCTCCTCAGATTTGCAACATTCTCACTGCCTCTGACAGATGCCTGTTTGCAGAAGGGGTGTGAAAGTCTATAAGTTGAATTGGCTGTGCCAGGCCATAGCCAGTGAGGGACCTGGCTGTCCCTCTTCTCAGTCCTTAGCCTTCTATGCTTTGCTCTGTTTCTTTCTAAGTTTAATCAATAGCTCCTAATGTGAAAGACTGAGCTTTTCTCTGTAATTTCATCAGCTAGTGCTCAAAAAGACTCAGCATGACACAGTCACCTGAAAGCAGAAACCTTTGGCTACAATTATATGTCCACATAGGATGTTGGCTAAAAAGACACTGAAATGCTGAAGATTTGGCTCCTGGTATGGGATGAATATATTTATGGAATCAGGAACACCTGTCCTTGCATTTAGAAGTAGGGTAAATATTTCAGGTACATTTCCAGAAAACAAAATAGCTTACAGCTTCCCAAATGTTTTTAATTTTTCTATCACCTAGAGACCATAAATAAGGCATTTAGAAATGTAGGGACCATGTATTTGAAGGTGATAAGCCTTTTTATCATGTGATTCCACAGTGGAAGTTTGCATGCTTTTTGAAATTAAGATAAGTGACACATTTGCTCATTCATAAAATCTTTTTTCCCCTAGTGTATTCTGGGTGAGATTTTTGGCACCAGAGATTAAAGTTTCTAAAATGGGTAAGGCAATTTGAGATTACCTCTCAGTTATGCCATATTGGGTTAAGTGTGGTAATTTTCTCTCTCTGAATTTGTTTTATTTTCCAAAAATTAAGCTGTTGAGATTTTCCCCAGAAAACCTATTAAATTCTAGTTCCTACAGCTTCTAATACACATGGTATTTCTATTTTCTGTCTAGAGATTACCCAAACTCTGAGTACTCTAAAAGGATGTGCATTGACTTAGGTGTGATTGGGGCCATTGTATCATCACTGATTTAGGGAGATAGAATTGACCTGTGCTCACCATTGCTCTCTGTGAATACAGTTGCGAATACACTGACTGGACAATGCTGTCATCTCTGTCATCTTCGAGAATAATCAGATACGAACAAATGATCCTTGAGAAAACCTTAGCACCAAAAGAATCAGAACCAACGCAGTGTCTCTTAGTCAATCCATCATGGCCAATTTTCCCTGCAGCAGTGGAACAGACTGAGTCCAGATGAAGTGGCCAAATTTTGTTCAAAGGCAATGTTTTATGGAAAATACCCATCCTTATGGGGAAATGATGGTTGGTAACTGGACATGTGGCGGTGGGCATGGCAAAACATATGTAGCTGCTAAGTTGAGAAAACATACTCTTGGAATCTATGAAATGCTGTAACTAATGTTACCTCAATTAAAAAAAAAAAAAGAAGGGGTCTCTTTGGTGGCACAAGGGGTTAAGCACAGCACTGTGAAGCTGTCCGCAGCTTCTGTAGTACAAGTTCGATCCCCAAGCAGCCAGGTAGCTACCCACATGGCGCAGCAGACCTCTCCTGTCTCGCCCACTGCTCCCTCAGCAGTGTATTTCAGTTGACCCAGCTGTTCTGTTCCCCACTCTGTCTCTGGTGAATTCTCTGAAACCCTGCACCTGCGGCCTGTACCCCAGTTCTTGTATGAATAAATAAATAAATCTTTAAAAAAAAGAAGAAAGGGGGAAAGAAAATACATATCCTTAACTATGAGAATCATATACACAGGGGCTATTTGGTCATAGATGCACATGGTAAGAAAGGCTCTAAGTAAACAGCCTCCAACACTGTCTGGTGTTTGCTATTATTGAAAGCAGCGGCAGACTCTATAGCCTGGAATAATTAAAAGCCTTTTTCCTCTTTTAGTTATTTTTAGACACATGCATATAGAGCAATTTATCTAAGAAACATGAGTTTATTTTGTGATTGTACTGGACTGTTAATACTGCCTTAGTTCAGACCTCATTCATCATCCTTGACTAATTCCTGCAACAACTGTCTAACCTCTACTCTTGATCATTCCCTTTCTCTTCTCTCTCCCCTAATCATCACTTTCCTATAAAAATAAGTATTTTTTTTCTGGAACAAAAATCTGTTTTGCATAACATTCTTGCAATGGCTCCCATGTCTACTGTAGTTTTCTCCAAAGTGTGTTCTCTCTATATATAGAGTAAAAATTAAGGAATATATTTCATAACTGATTAAGAATTTCATGGTGTTTTTTTTTTAAGACGAAGTTATAAAAGGATACATAGTCTATCTTTTCACAGAAAATTCAAAATCCATATTAACACATGAGAGACTATCAGGAGTGAAGTGTTTCCCATTTATTTGGCCATAGATATTAATTTTTTCTCCTAATTTATCTAATTAAATATATTGCATAGAAAAGTAAGATACAAGCACTAACAGATGAATATTTAAGTTCCTAAGTATGTTATCACAGGATTTACCACTAACTGCCTCATCTTACCTTCTCACTTCCCTGAGATTCAGGCAAGTTTCAGCCCTGACTAACTTGGGCATCAGGAGGCTGACTGTGCTTTGGATAATTTTCCTTGAAATTTTCTAAATTCCCTTCCTAGAAGTCCTGGGTGCAGTAGGAGTGGGATTGTCATCTGGATGAGTTTCTCCCACCCAGGTTGCGTCAGTCTCTTCTTTGCACTATGACATCACACTCAGCCTGCCTTTACTCTAGAACCAATTGCTCTGTGTTAATAACATTGTCTTTATGTCTACTTTCCCAGGGTGATTCACACCAAGGCAGGAACTATGTCTCCTTTATCCATTTATTCCTAACCTATCTGCTTTATGCCTAATATCACACATTATTATGAACAAGTAATTTAGAGAAACTAAAATGAATCCAACAGATGATCCCATGAAATCTTTATTGTTAGAAGGGATTTGGAACCTGAGAGGGAAGGCAGTTGTGTGATGTTGACATCTACAAATTCCCTTGTCCTGTTGTCAAGTCTGTGATACAAATATGCTTCATTTCTATTTCTATTTGTCCACCTCCACCAGTCCTTCAGGAGGGCTGGTTAGCGACATCTCCGGAGTTTTGCAGCTCCTTCTGGGAAATCTAATTCTATAGTGTCTCCCAAGGGCATGTAAAGTATAATTCCTCTAGCGATCCCTTATTCCATAGTTCACAGAGTCAGCTTATCTGATTGAAACTGGACAAATTCAGTCATTTTTGCCACATGCTATTCACCTTAGAAATTAATTTGCTATTCTATAGGTTTCAACTGCCACATGATACTGAAAAATGAAAGATGAGAAAAGAGTGAGAGAAGGCTGAGATTAGGAAAGAAAAATGAATGAAGAAAAAAAATGATGCTGAGAATGAAACAGTGAAAAGAGAATAGGAAGGCAAGTTTGGGGAAGGAGAAAAGCAATTTTACATGGGTTCTATGTGGTTCTATTCTACTAGGAATTTATAATCTCTTTAGAAAAAAAGAGAGGATAATCATATATGAAAGTTTAACATATATTTTTTAAAGTTACATGTCATATATACTTATTACGGAGCACTTCCTTCTAACGGAGCTGGCACATGCACACTTGAGTGAACACACACACACACAAACACACACACACACACTCACTTAGATCTCCATGATTTCTGCTGCCATTGGACCTTGTAGTTTATCAAGGGAGAATGTTAAGAGAGCATAGCATCCCACCTAGGAGCAAGCAGATGAAAACGCACAAGAAACATAGCTCTGCTGTTCTATTAGGTCCCTTCTCTCAATCTTTGCATTTAGGAGACGAGAGAGTCCTGCAGCCTAAAATGGTGGTAAAAGGTTTCCTTTTTTTCCTCTCAAAGGTTATGACCTTGAATGGGTGAGGAATATGACGCACTTCCTAAATTTCTCAATGTCTTATGAACTGAAGGCCAGTTGTTCATCATTGCTCTAATGGGGGCAGAACTCTCTGCCACTGTTAAGCTGCAGGCAGCCTGGGCCTGGTTATTTAGCATGTCTGACTATACAGTGGGGAGAGGAAATACAGGAAATGGTTTTGGCAACACAACCTCATTATAAATGTGTCTCCATATCCAGCCTCCATCCTGAGCTTGGGGAAGCATCCAGGGGTCAGCCCACAAATGGGATGAAGGAACTTTCTTACTGCTCTGTCCTAGACCTTGCTTGAAAAAGGAATGTTTGACTTCAAGAAACCTGAATTCTTCCAGCTTCCTGGCTGCTTGGGTCTTCTGGGCCATCCCTGAGCAAAGTGCCACAGAGTTTGGCTCATTCTTAAAGCACAGACAAGAAATCCTTTCTCCATCCCTGATTAGCTTTACTCAGAGAGAATTCTGGGAATCACTTTGGGATCCTCTGAATTATAAAATCGCTTAGTGAATGTGGATTCTATTTTATTCCTACTATAAGCATTTTAAAATTTGTTTTTGATACTATGAGCACCATTTTATGGCCTGGATGGAGAGTTCAATCTTGGTCTTCTGCTCTAAATACTTAGCTGCAGAAATTCTTCCTGATCCCCACTGATACGTGGTCATAACCTGATCCAGTCAGTCTGCTCGCTGTCTACTTCCCACACCCCTGCCATCAGCAGTGCCATGACTCCCTGCGGGCACTGCTCTCTCCGTGATTGGTGGTTCAGAACAGCTTGAGGCCTCAGGGCTCTCCTTGGTGTGAGCATGTCTTAGCCTCTGAGGATTTGAATCCCGGCACCGTATTCAAGATATATTTAAGCCATGATGACTCAAGGTTATTTTGTCTGTCTCTAGCTTGGCTGTTTGTGAAAATTTATTGTTTCTGGAGGAAAAAAATTATATCTATCGGTTGAAAGCCTGTATTACCAAAGTTTCCCCGGGGACAGCCTAGTCCTCAGGGACTCTACTTCCACTAAGGCACTCAGAAGGGAATGCATAGTCAAGGGTCTGACCTTGACCTCCCACCATCCTGTAAAGATGCTGGTATCATATAAACAGGGAATTCATGGCATTCAAATGAAAAACTCTACTACTTCCAAGTTTAGAGTTTCATGCAATGCTGTGAGAGTCTGTCTGCAGCCTCCTGTCCTAAACTGCACCATCTCCCCATGGACTTTGTACTTATATTCCAAGAACCATTATGACTCACATCTAATTAAACCCTGCTCCCTAACATTCTGTGCCCCGTGGTCAGGCAGTCATGGTGAAAATGCACTTTGGATGTAGATCTGTGTTGATTTTGTTCACTGCAAGTGTGGCTGAAAATTACAACTAAGTACAAAATCACAGGGTAGAAATGAAATCTTTAAACAAATAAACAAATACCAAAACAACAACAACCAACAGAGGACAAAGCAAAAACATCTTGCCATCTTATGTGGCCCAATCTCTGTATTGAATTTCAGAAATAAAAACTGTCTAAAAACCAAATGGAATAAAGGGGAATTTTCAATATTGGTTGAAGATCTAAAAGCTACAATTTGTAATCCACAGGAATGCTCTCTTTTATCCCTTTCCCCACCTTCCTAGGCCTCAGCTCTAATTAGCTGCTCTCTGACACTGTTTTGCTGAATATTCCTACTTTAGTCTCACCTGAGTGCACATTCCTCAGCCTCTCCTTGACCCACCCTCTATCTCCTCCTCTGGTCACAATACTAAACAAGTATTAGCTCCAAGGGCCTGGTCATTAAGACTTCTGGGTCCCACCAACGGTCACACCAGATGACTTGAGGGTTCTGTGGTTTCAAGCCCAAGTCTTCTCTCTCCATGAACATAATTGCCCAGAGCCCTCTAGAAAATGTGACTGTTTTTTTAATGGACAAGTCACATGGAACATTTCAAGGGAATAAACTATTCTACAAAAACATATATTTCCTGCACATATTAGGAGAAGAAATTTTATATGTCATTGGAGATTCATCTGGAGTACACAAGTCTGTCCCTACATCCATGGTTAAAGTATTTCCTCCAAAGTCTATAGGAATTATAAAAAAAATGAATGGAGGGATGTTTACAATAAAAGAGAGTGAAGAGTGATGAGTGGAGAAATGGCAGGCAGACACCCGCCCAGGGCACGGGACATTCACGCAACGAGGCAGGAGAGGCCTGTTTGGCTGAAATCTCACACTACATACCAGAGAGACACAGCACAGAGGCAGCAGAAGCAGATCTGAGAGGCCATTACATAGCTCTTTTGTCTTCAGCAAGGGTCATTAAGACAAAGAGCAAAATAAAGATAAAGGAAAAAGACCGAACCTGCAGTGAGAAGGAAAGGCTATTTAGAGAGCTTTGTCAGGAGGAGTATGTGCTTTGCAGGCATTAAAGGCAACTAACTCTGCAGCCATACAGATTACTGGAAGATTCTTAAGGACAGAGAATGCATGATTCTGCCAAGCAAACTAAGAAAATATAGCTACGTATTGGGAATTGATGAAAGGGAGACTTTGAATCTGTTGGAATTGAAATAAATGAAAATGCTTATTTGAGTTTGGACTAAGAAGTGTTAAGTATAAAATTCTAGAATAGAGGAAGAGAAAAATCCTCTACCTAGGATATTTCATTATAGGTACAGGATGGTCAATTTTCATAGAGTAACTGGTCAGAGAATAGAGGCTTCTTATGCCATGAGAAGTAACAGGAATGGGGTGTGTAAATCCCATTCATTCATTCACTCATACAACAGTGTTTACTGAGAATCTACTATCTGCCAGCCACTGTGTTTAGGCTGAGTTGTTTCAGTGAATAAAACACCAAGCTGTGGTGTGGTATAGAAGGCAACCACATGACAATTAAGTATTGATACATAATTAATTAATTTTAATAAATTTTTCTTAAAGAGGTGTAGAATATAATATGTAAAATGATAAACTTGAAGTATGGCAGTATTAGGGAAGGGACACACCTATGTACACACACACACACACACACACACACACACACACATACACTTTCTTGACAGCCACAGCAGGAAAGCAATGAAATTTCTCTTCCCAGAGAGCTGGGTTTTGCATTCTCTTGATCAGATCTCTCACCACTTGGTGGGAGAACAGAACTAAGGTATTTTTTATGATTTTTTTTGCTTTTACTTTTAATAAGAGTTGTAACATTTTATGATTTTTCTTACAAGATCAACTAACTGAAAGAAAAAACATGTTTGGATAATCTGACTTGTACTAATAAGAATGTTGAAGAAACATGGACTTGTTTAAAAATATCGAGGGATAAGGATTTACAATGTTTATGCACTTACATTTTCTTGTGTGTGATAAACTATTTTCCATCTTTTTCATGTGCTGACACTTATTTGAGGGTAATGCTAAATCTCAGGTACCTAAGTCCACAGTGGCCTTAAATGTGATTGCTTTTATTGATCTGGAGATATAATCTTGATACTGAGTTAGCCAGTGTCAAGCCAGTCTTTTTAAATTGGAAAATAAAAAGCACAAATGAGTTTTCTACTACTTGACATCCTGATACAAACAGCACAAAGGTGGATACTAAGAACAGTTAAGCCTTTCATTTAACATAGATTCTGAAAGGTAACATATTATTCAGTATTTTTTTCTTGCACATTCTTTTGTCACTTGGCAGATTCTTTGCAATATTTTTTTCATTGACTCAGCAAGGTGGTGCACCTGTGGCTGTCAAGAAAGTGTATGTGTGTGTGTGTGTGTGTGTGT